TAACGTTGAATTCTCTGTGATAAATACTGGTGTATTATTTTCTAACAATAAACCGGACGAGATATCTAGACCTGGAGCCGCACTTTGTAACCCAAGTTGAGAAGTGGCAGACGAGTTCTGCGATTCCCCAGTAAGGACAAGACCTCTTGTTCTCCATTTATCAGATCTTCTGCCTGAAAATGGACACAACACAGAGGTATAGCCTTTACTACAGGAAATCGGCCTAGGTCATTACTCCATCATGTAACTGTTCAATATTGACATATATTAACACTTCATAATAGATTGAATTGATTTAAGATATCGTAACGGGAAAACTGCATTGTTAACAGTAATTTACTCTCTCATTAAAGGAAGCCAGATTTCAACTTTAATACAGAAAGAACACTACACTCTCTTGATGATTGTGTTTAACCCTTTCACCACTGTATATCATAATGGACTCATCCATATCAATGCCTGGTAGAGTCTACTTAAGTTACATAGGGTGAAAGGGATAGAGTCAGTTACAACTAAACAGTGACCACTAATGGAACACCTTGATTAATTCCACACTCTTAGAAACTCCAGCTATAAAATCCTCACAGTAAAAATTCATATCACCTCCTCAGTATCATATTTATAATGGTTTGTCAAAATAGAGGGTTTCGCAAAGAAATAAACATTAAATTTAACATAAATGTAGCAGAGGTTTTCATTCCTTTTGATGACCAATCCAAATGTATAGTTAATATCGTTCAGTTTATTTATTACCACAAAGACACATCTATATTATTTAACTTGAAAAGACCTGTTATAGTATCTTGACAAGTCAAAACCTTCCTCTGTTAAAAATTCTTCCAAACAACAAAGAGATTGGAGATTGTCCAGAACAAACATGTTACCGCCATTAAAAGACAACTCGTGTGGGATTACTGAATTCTTTTTTGATCTATACAGTAAACAAAATGGACCTTATACAGTTTTGCATGGTATTGAGTACCATTCCACTCAATTATTCAGGTTTTGTCCTCTTCATGGTAAAAATCATGTCTCAACTATTCCCAACACTGCTACTCCAGCAGTCTCATATCTCACTATCCGTACTGTTTATTACGTTTCCACCCCCGAAACTCCATCACATTTCAAACAATTGTGTATTCATGAAGGTCATTCAAGGTCATCAGTACATGAGTTTTGGTAAAGTACGGTTATCAAGCAGCATTGCTTATGGTTTTCTTTAGTATGAACTGCAAGCATTTCTCTATCAACATCTATGTGCATTTGAACATAAATTTGTCCACATGTAGAGTTATCTCCCCTTGCAATGTAGTGTATATACACTATCCGTCTTGTATGTAAACTACTACACACTGGAGGCAACCTACCGAGGATGAGCTCCATGTGTGTAAGTAAACTGGGGCGGAGCAGGGAGGGAAGTGCTTGATATGCAGTTAACTAGGGAAATCTTGTATTGACACACCAGTAGGTTTTATACTAATCCAAAACTATAGTGATTAACCATCTGAGAACATCTATGTATATATATACTGAACACTTTGTTTTGATGAATGTCAGATTAAGAATGACCAACACAAGGTTTCCCCAGTTACAGTATGTTTGTGTTTCAAATCACTTACCTGCATTAAGTTCAATCTGTAGCAAAACTAGCATCAGCAAAAAAACACATTTTTTCTCTCTCTTAAAAACAGCTGATATCTCTTTTCTTTAGATTTGTTGTCTGTTTTTGAAATCTCCTTTTTTTCTATTGAAATTAATTGATCAACCTTGAAATTGCGGTGACAGTGATGAACAGAATGAACTTTGTGTCTTGAATCCTTCTCCTTCAGTCAGCAAGCATGCATTTCTATTAGCTTTAAATTAATGTTGGAGGAGACTCTTCCCCACTAATTGAAGACATTCGATCAGTTAGTAAAATAAAATATTTCAATTTAAAGTGATATATATTGTAATGCAGCCAAGTGTTTTTTTTATATTTTAATTTCAAATTTTCAACGATTCCAGCTTAATCAACATAGGAAGGAGCCTCCTCAACGTTACTTGTAATTGTGTGTGTTTGTGTGCGTGTGTGCAAAAGGGTCCTCAGGAAATTGGACATAATATACATGTAATAAAATTGGTTGTTTGGTTAAGGCAAGTACATATCAACAGACCTTCAATGACCAAACACTCAATTATACTACCGTTAGATGCACTTTTCTAAATGGAAAGCAAAATATACATGGTTCAGGGAACATAAACTTTATCATAGACATATCTGCCTGGAATTTACTTTCACTTTCCATATATTTACTGCTTGTGGCACCGACTGCGATTTTCAATAATTTAACATGCATCCAATTTCAGACTGGGCAACAAAAGGTCTGTCAACATGTACCATGCTAGAAATGTCTCATTAAACATTTTCCAACAGTTCAATAGCTAGTTCCATCAACAGGTGACTGTGAGATGTAATTTCCGATCAGATTTGCTCATAACCATAATTATGGCATACTGTAGGATGTGGTAAGTTTCGTTTACATCAGTAAACTACTGGCAAGTTAAAGACTTTTCATGCATGACATTTTTCACATGTTGATGGCACTTTTGATATAATGCTTTGTTACAATAAACAGCCTGTAGTACATCCACTGGTAACTTTCCTTGGTGTAGTATCACATGACACCGTTGGACAAGGCAATCGTTACCTACATGTACATGTACTTGAGGCTTCAAAACCCAACTGTAACTTCAGATGCATCTCGTCTTTCCAAAACGTTGAGCAATTAAGATCCATGTAACCAATGGTATTAGCTCACTCTTAGAACAGACGAGACCATCGGAAATTACAACGGAATTTCCACAAACAAAATCTCACTTTCGCATATCAATATATATATTTATCATGGCTCTGCATTTTTAACAAAGTACTAAATACATTATGATTGCAGTATGACTGTTTAAGCATTGCCATATGGCAGTATAGATTTAAGAACATTAAGCTGAATAACACCAATGGCCTTGTAAATATTCATGTTTCTTGAATGGTTATAAATTCTGGTCATTAAGTACACCCAATGGCTTGAAATGGAAACGATAAAAAAGTGGTTTAATAGTTAACGTCGCGTATTAATTGTTTCTGGGTTGACACACAAGTTTTCAGTCTGTTGGTTAGTGGAAACATGAATATTAACTCATCTTATGCAGTTGAGGTGCTTCTTTATTTGTAAAGTAAATGTCTAAACTAGAGGCCATAATTTTCTAGCACCTTGTTAAAGCAGCAGAGAAAAAGCCAAGTATGCTTGTTCAGCTTCTTTCCTAAGAATTCAGACAAAGTATTGTGGTGAATTCCTAGAAATTGTTACCGAACCAAGCACACATCTTATGGTTAACTATGTACAGATTCATACTACCTTACATAATATTATAAATAAAATCATTTCCAGTCTGGTTAATATAATCAAACATTGCCCAATTATACACTTTTCAGAATGGCAAAAGTAGATTTTTTGAAGTGATTGAGTGGAATAAAATCTACATGCACTGATCTTTGCATGCCTTCCAATACCTTTTTTGCAATTTCCTCTTTGCAATGACCAGTCGTTGACAGTCATTGAAGAAACCAGATTCAGAAATTAATTTCTTGAATGCCAATCTGTACAATTTACATTAAACAAATAGCCAGACTAGAAATGATACGGAGAAGGAATGCTAAAACAATCTGTTAGCATGTAACAGACTCCAATGCCACTATACTACAGCTACCAAACTGTCATTTGACCTTGATGTTCAAGGATGACCTTGATGGCTTCAAGTTTGTTTCTAGCTGTTGTGACCTTATAATGATCCCAAGATTGAAGGTACCAAGTTTTGTCTATAATTTATTACCGATTTCCCCAAAGATATAGATGAATGACCTTTGACCTTGATTTGGTATTAATGCAACCGTATTTGACTTTGGTTCAGTATTGATCCGACATTATTTGACCTTGATCCCATCTTATTTGACCTTGGTTCAGTATTGATCCGACCTCATTTGACCTTGGATCAGTATTGATCCCGACCTTATTTGACCTTGATTCAGTATTGATCCCATCTTATTTGACCTTGATTCAGTATTGATCCGACCTTATTTGACCTTGAATCAGTATTGATCCTGACCTTATTTGACCTTGATTCAGTATTGATCCGACCTTATTTGACCTTAGATTCAGTATTGATCCGACCTTGATTCAGTATTGATCCGACCTTATTTGACCTTGATTCAGTATTGATCTCACCTTATTTGACCTTGACTCAGTATTGATCCTGACCTTATTTGACCTTGATTCAGTATTGATCTCACCTTATTTGACTTCTGACAGTGTTCCTCTACTTCTGTTTTACTTCATACAATCAGGCCTACTAATTTACAAAGCTATCATTTTCATTATTTTCGTATCTATCCTATCTTTTATTAATCACATTATGTATATGACAAATGTTGACTTGATTTTAGCAATAGTGTTTTGTTGGCAATTGTTGCAAGTCGTGACATGGAAGGTTGTTTTAACTTCCTCTGGAACTGTTCTCTGTGGTAATTCAACAAATGCTGAGGAAAGCTATTTTGTAAGCATGTTTTGAAAAGTCACATTTAAGTAACTAGATTAACATAGAAATACGTAACAATTTCCATGAACAAAATCTCCGAACCATTTGACATGATCATAATTGATGTTCAAATTTACCAAGACCAGTCATTTTATAAGGTGTATTTTCCAAAAGAATTATGCACTTAAATATTGTAATAAAAACTTTAAAAAATTATTTCCCTCAAAATTTAACTTTTCGTCAGTGATATTTTTTCCAATGTTACAACGTGAAAAAAGCGGAAGAAAAATTTGACCGCTCTTTCCTAGAGTAATATGTATATGATTGAAGGTACTGTTTTTACTGTAAAATAACAAATTCCTCAGCACATGCTTAGTCACATAGATCAGCTCCGATCAAATATGGAAAGTCAAAATGAATATGACACCTACCTTTGAATGTTCCCATGTACCAGGAATTATTCTGGTCACCACTTATGTTGCTTCCTTCGTTTGACATTTCCTCGCGTGCCCAATCCTCGATCTCCTTGTCACTAGCCTCTTCCTGTTCGTCCGGCATCCTCCCTGGATGTATTCGCATCACCCCCTCCTCTGGCATATCAACATGCATATCAAGTCCTCCTGTTTCATGATTGCTGGATTCTATTTTCACTATACTTAAGTCTGGTGTCATATCAGCTGTGCTGTGCATACCTGCTGCTTCAGATGCCCTCCTGTCAGAAAGAGTTAAAAAAATATTCAAACATGTAAACATTTTCCTGCATTTAATGCACTTTCTATCATAATGTTGATGAATTAGAAATCATTTCAAACTTACTTATCTGTATATTATTTTTAAATAATATTTGTAATAATATTCATTAGGGTTAAACTCCAGCTACTGTTCTATTCTTTGAGATTATCATGTCTCATCTACTGTATATAATTTTTTTTCTGCAAAGTAATCTTACCTGCTATCCCTTGCTCGTTCAGCAGGCGAGGCTGGTGCACTTCTGGGTTTTTGGACCGATTTACTGCTGGACGGCGAGCCCAGTGGGAGGGACATGGATGAGGGCGATGATATTCCAGCTTGTACTGCACTTCCAGCTGCAAAAGGTTTTGGTTGGGTGATGGGCGATACAGACACTGGAAACGGTCTTTGATGAGGAGTACTGGTTAATTGACTATCTACACTCTTTTGCTGTTTTCCCATACCATATACACTGTCCACCACATCTTGTCTTTGGGAGAATCCAGCAAACTGTATTTCTGATACCTGGCCTGATGATTCAACTGTTGAGGAAGAAGAGGAGGGTTCAGGGGCAGATGATGACTGAGGGTGGGGTTCTTGGAAGATGGTTAATGGGCTGACGGTGATGGACCCACGGGACGAACTGGATGAGGTTATTGCATTGGAAGCAGCAGTTGTAGACTGGGTTTCAGGGCTGCCAAACACATTTACAACACTAATGTCTGGTTCTGTGTTAAACTGACTAGTTACAGCAATGGACACTGCTGCCGACTTCTGTGATGAACGGGATGATGATGGTTGCCCAGAATCTTTTTCTGGAGGCTCAGTCTGTACAAGTTCAATTCTTTCTTCAATAATTTCTATCACACCAGGCTGGGAGTTCCTCCCAGTAGCACCCTGACGACTCATGCCTGACCCCAGTTTCGGGACCCTGTCCCACGGATCTGGAGCTCCAGACATGTAACTATGGGACATACTTGCTGTATCATCAGCTTTGTCCGACCCTATCACAGTAACATCTGACGGACTTCCCCCTCTGTATAGCCTTGGACGCTTACTTCCTGGACTTCCGGGCCGGGGGAAATCAGAAACACGTTTAATTATTCTTTCAGAAGCCGTTTTTTGCAAGCCGGTGGCACGGACATGACGGAATTCAGCAAGATCATGTCCTGAAAAGGAGTACTTGTATGAGGATCCCGGAAACGGTGCACCTGTTTTAGCATTCATACATTTGTAAAAGTCAGCACAACATTTGATAACACTGTCTACTTGTAAAAGTCTTCCTACTTTTTCCACATCACGGACATTTTCTTCTGTTAACATCATGAATCCCTCGTATAAATACTGTAGGAATGTGTTGACTGATTCTTGTTTGATGTCGGCTGCTAGACGAACTTCTAGATGTGAACCTGCAGAGGCATTCTCCATGGACTGTAGCATAGGACAAGCTGCCACCAGCACAACTCGGTGGGCCTAGGGAAAGCAAAACCATTGTTTAATTCTTAACTTAAATTCACGAATATGACTTGACAAAAATAATAATTGTTAATTGCAAATTTTGTCCAGAAAATGTTTGATTGGTCAGAAATGAAAACAAAGGAACAATCATGTCAAAGTGCTATTGATTTTGATATCAATGATCAAAACCGTCACGCTTGTATGTTAAGTTGTTGAACAATTTAAAATTATCTTGACATAACAGGCATTTATTTGTAACGGGGAAATTCATCTGTATTATAATCTTGGACACTAATGACCAGTTGTAGCAGGACTAAAACGTGTGCTTACTTTTGTAATAACTTGACCAGTTTTAATGATGGCATCACACAACATCTGGCCCTTCCACATGTGTGACAGCTGACATAGAAGTGAGCTGGAATGGATCTGGTTCATGTAGACCTTCTGGTAATTCATACTGGACATCTTGGCTTGTGCGAATTACTTTATAGCCAATCCTGGAAAATAAAAAAAATCCCAATGAAAACTCTTCATAAAAGATGATGGTTCACATAATATTATAATCTAGAATATAAACTTTATTTTACAGTAATTATGAAACAAATTTTTCAACATATTTATAATCAATCGTCGAGTATGCAGCACGCGGGTCTAATGAGAAAGGAAACAAGAATACCCAGAGAGAACGCACATGGTTGGTAGGGTGACCAAATATCTTTTCACATCTGATCAGGAAATCGAAACATTGGCCGACTTGATGAAAGGTGAGAGCACTATTCAATACGCCACCAGACACCCGAGACCATTAAGATTGTTCACAAGGCCCATTTTCACAATACCAAGCATTATTTGTCTAGCTTCCCTCAAAACGTGTGTGCATCGCATTCCTCAAGGCTCCATGCCAAGAAAGAGTAATTTCATGCAGAATGTGACAAGTACCTGGTAGTATATATATATTAATCCATATACGATCTTTGCGTCAACCTTGATATTTTGATATTTTTAAAGGGATCCCGGGTCGACAGCAGCTTTTCACAGCAAGATACTTTTGACAGAAGCGATCACTTCAATCAATTTTCAGCTCAAAATTTTAAAAATTAAGATTTTATGTTGAAGGTTTGCCAGTATAAAGAGGTCAGAATACATGGTTTATGCAAGATTTCAATTACAACGTTAATACCTGGCAAAATACTGAAAGGGGACCTGTATCATAAGTCCTGGCCCTGTCTGACAGCACACTGATGATGATTTTCACACAAAAATAATTGGACAAAATCTAAAATGGGGTTGAAATAATTGAAATAATCATCAATATTTGCATCAACTGTAACAAAAATGTTCAGATCCAAAATGTTTTCACATTTTTCACATGTTATATTTGGTTACCTTGTCTTGTTTTGTATCTTCCTCATATAGTATTAGAACCAGTATTCAAATTCTGTAAATATGTATCCATGTGAAATCCTATTTGGACTAGCGTGTGTGAATGAGAACTTGGTTACCATGATGAATATTTTTGTGTACCGTTAATAACAGGTCCAGTACACTCTGCTGATTGAGCTATATAGCTGTAAAGACCTATAATAGCTCTATTGACCTATCTTAAAGTAGTCTTTTGAGCTGTTTTCATGTGATTTTATCACTAGGTTGCAAACAAAAGACATTAATTAAATATGAGTATTTTTTTTTGAAATAGTGATGTAAAAAAAATCCAAAATTTAACATTTATGAAAAATGAAAATAAACAACTAATGTATGCCGTTTGTAGTCAAAATTACCATTAAACCTTATTGTTTTATGCGACTTTGCTTTCATTTATGAATATTGAAATCTGAGAAAATATGTATATATATGAGCTCAATCGGCATAGTGTACTGGACCTGGTTAAGAGGATGTAAATCTCGACTGCGTGAAAATTAAGAGTTAACATTGTTTATTATTATCAGTATATCAGTGTTAAAATTGTATGGTACGTAATAACTCATTTACAATACACGCGTAAGGCCGTGTGTACAATACACACGGTACCGGCTAACGGAGGGCGGATGCGCAGGTGCTTGTTTACAGTTCCTGCCCTCCTGTTCAGTTTCACATTTCATCAGTTTCGCAGCAATAAATAAAATCATTTGATCCGATAACCCAATCAAATAAAACAAGAATCGCTCAAATTCAATCCCGTGACATGCTGGGCTTGACAACAACGTATAAAATAAAGTAGGGCATATTTTGCGGCAACGATGCTGCAAATATGGCGGTATTATCATGATTATGCCCAGTGAAAATGCCATGCGTTTCGATAGTTTATGTTATGTTGCAGTTATTATTTATCATCAATTATCATTCTGACACATAACAAAGATAACTTACAATGTTCAGACAGATCGTTGACAGACTGGTCCTTTCGCTTGCTTGCTGTTAATGAACGAGGGCCTTATTTTTCTAAAGTTTACCGATCTCTGCCATTGTTCAGTGGTCCGAATTTGCTTGGTACGCCAAGGGCTCGTGGTACTGCGCACAGCCTATGCGCAATAACTTTTCAATTAATGTGGTGTGGGGCCCTTTACAGGGTAACATTATAATAAACGTTGTGTATGGTCGAACAGCAAGTACATATAGGGGAAAGATTTGCATTTTATACCATGTTCAAAAACTGCAAAAAGTTGTCGCACAACATGGTCATTTTCTGCATACATACACACGCTGAAGGTCTGGGCCAGCAAAAATCCGGCCTGCAATATAACCGAAATAGGAATTTAATGGACACTCCTGCATTTTAGAATGGGTTTGCTTTCTCATTGATAAAGTTCCAGTTTGGGTACACCAACGTTAATCTACGAACAAAATACCTTTCTCGTATCAGTTATTAAATGGGCTCCAATTTTTTTTTTATTTCATTGATGTCCTTTAAGTATTAATTTAGTTTAAACAGTATTTTATTCAATATATGGCAGTGACAAAATAAAAATATTAATTTGAAGAATTGTGAACACATATTACTTCTTTTTAACGGAATTAGCTATCTCTAAGTCCGTGGTTATTAAGATAAAATGTACGCCCTTATGTAAGACTATTACAAGTCAACCTCCTATACCTTTATTTAATCAGTTTATTTTATATAGCCTTAAATATCTTATATATATATATAGGTCTCGACAGTAATAACGACAGTATGATTGGCATTGGATCCGAGCAAACGGATAATATATATGAATTAATCTATTTAGTTTTTACGTATTTTAGATATAACTCGTGTTTTTTGTATGTTACAAAAAAAACTGTGCTAATAGTCACTATACTTAATTTTTTATGATTTCGATCATAGACGGATTATACACGTCTCTGCTTCGATGTGATGTAAAAGTCATTTATACAATTTAGAAATCTTATAATTGACAAGAGCAGATACGTATATAATACTAGACATGCATGGCATTTTTTCTTTTCGCTCAAAAATGAGTGGGGGAATCGAAGAAATAACCATATCTATCACTATCACATTGTCATAATCAGCCATTACGACGAGCAGAGAGATAAAGTACGTGGTTACTATAGCTTATCTTATACCCCCCCCCCCCCTAAAAAAAAATAACTGGATGTTGCGTGTATAGCAACGTAGCTGAAAATTGTCGACCGCGGAAAGAAAAAGAAGTATATATTTTGAATTTGTCAACGAAATATTTAGTTCTATATATAAATCCCTTTTTTCATAATTTAAAGTTGCGTTGAGACAGAGAAATATATAGGTATCTGGGTGAAAAAAATAAAGATTGTACTGGTACATCACGGACTTAGATTCTAATTCCGTGGGTACATGTACAATGTTCTAAAATATATTTGAATTGTTTGCTAATATTAGTATATTTCAACGTTTTGAGTACTCTTAAAATCAATGCTTAATTAATGTTGTTTTCTTTTTAATATAATTACAGCATCGCTACGTTTTAAATCCGACTACTGTGCCTTTAGAATAGAATCGGTCCTGCGTAAGTATTTCCCTAAATGTGCCCCTGATGTGATTTGCAATCAATTTCTGCGCAACAGCTCTGCGCAATACACGAGTCCATGGCCGGGGAACAATGAACGAAACTGACCAGAAGCAGGAAGATTGAGCGTATTTCCACAGAAATTCTGCATGAAACAGCATTTACTGAAACTTAAAGGTTATTATAACATATTTTTGAATTGGTTAAATTGATGTTAACATGATTACTTGCTTTAAATGCGTGAAATAACCAATTTTAATTAGGCTAAGTCGGCCGTCGTCGGCGACGTGACGCTGAACAGGTAAAATGCACGGGTCGTAATGCCACTTCGCCTAAGCAAATATGTCGACTTCGTCGGTTCCTCAACAATAAGCAGCTCAAACGGAAAATGCTATTTCTATTTGTTTCTTTTTCTATTTATAATTGTCATTTGGGTGTTAATGAATTTTTGAAGCAGGTTCACGTGACCGTTTACAAGCACCTTGCCGGCGCGCCAATATCATTGACACGAGGGTACGCCGCCGGTCCGTGATTTAATCGTAAACGCTACGACCGAAAATCAAAATAGATAATCACACTGTTATGTTTGTGATAACCCGCATGAGGCATGAAAGCTATATTTTGTTTAAAAACATATGTCTTTATATATGTGTTATAAAGTTCGATGGATTTTATGCCGGTAATTATGTACAGCAAGTATAACCCGAGACGTATAACGTTATACTACAGAAATAACGGATTTATTTTATAGGGCATTACATTTGAAATACAATGTGGTAATTGTGAATCAAGTCTATATTTAAGATGTTGTATGCGGGTTGTACTTCCAACTCTTGAGATCTTTCCAAAGTCAAATATGTTGCAAGATTAAATAACATCTTGTAGGAGACTATTCTTAATGTAATGTTTTCTAATATTTAAATGACAATGTTGTTTGAGTATCTTTTTACTGTGTCCACAAGGAAGTTTTTCTTTGAGCGGCTAGATCAAACAATCCCTCAACTAAATTTAGATCATATAATTATATAGCCCATTCATGAATTCATGTTTGTCATATCTCTGCACAAGTGCCTGTATGTTCCAGTTGTGGGTTTGGATAAAAAAAAAGGACGCATTCTTGTGGCTTTGAAGCCTTCATTATGAGAAAACACATTCAATATATTGTTGTAAAAAAAATAGTTTTGTGGTTGTGGTATCCCATTCTGAGCCATTTTCCAAACAGGCCTGTTGGAATAAAAACAAGTAAAATGAAGTTATTTTTCATTTCGACATTGAGAGCTTGCCTCCCTTCTCCTATATATGATCATTGGGGTGTCATTTTTACCGAAAGTCTATCTAAACCCTTCAAACATGTAAAATTACTCAGAACACCTTAGGTTGGGTCCAGAGCTGTAACAAATTCTCAGGCACCTGTGAGCTTGTCCATTTCTGATGCAACCTGTTAATTAAATGACTGTTCTGTATGTGGGGATCGACTTGCAGTGATTTTTTCATGGCCTCTGCACAGCTCAACAAATAGCTTGGGATGATATTTTTCAAGTGTTTTTCTAAAATGATTTGTAGCCAATCTATAGTTGGTCCACACTCCTTTGTCTGTTTTCTTCTAAAAACTGTGCAAATTTTACTTTACATAAACGTGATCTTTGCATGATGTTTCCTCTAGGTCACACGGCACTGGCCCCTTTGGAAAAGAGATCGAAATATTACTGATCTTGAGTTTGGTATTAATTACAGGATCTAAAAAGCACGAATGATGAACCAAGCAATTTGTTATTTCTTTTTAGATTATCAACAGTGAAGAAAAGAAATCAAGATGAATTACCAGAAGGTCTACATGAACCAGATCCATTCCAGCTCACTTCTGTGTCAGCTGTCTGCGATGTGGAAAAACCAGTTACTATGTGACGCCATCATCAAGACGGGACAAGTCATTACAAAAGTAAGTAAATAACACCAAAGTTTTGCTTTATAGGAGGCACGGTAGTCGAGTGGTAGGACGCCAGGCTCGTGACCGAAGGGTTACAGGTACGAGTCATGGCACGGCACTGTGTTGTATCTTTGAGCAAGATACTTTACGTCGCTTGTTCCAGTCTACTCAGCTGTAAATGTCAGTACGTGGTTGGGCAGTTCTCGAATCGTAAAATGCTAGCTGTGAGCAGCGAAATGGCAGCAGCGACTGTATGCTCCCCAGGGAGTTGAGAAAGATATTGGCTAGTTGCAAAGGCCCTATAACCACGGATAATAATTTGTGAACCGCTTTGAGACAACCTCAAATTATTCTGACCCGAAGCAAGATTGTAATTTACCAATGGTATAAGTATTTCATGCTTAACTGCATGATTTTATAATAACAGCAACAACAACTTATTCAGGGAATTGCTGAATTCACTCCCTTCATTTGATAGGAAAACTATAGTTGTTGGATGCCAGTAAAAATTCCCATCAGTAATGATGGTCTTGGGTAGGTGTATAAATGGCACTGTGAAATCTGCTATCATTTTCGTTTTCCTGTAAGTGGTTACTGAACTTACTGTGTTTTGACTACAACTTCATCAAAATTTCAAACAATAGCCAAACTTAACTTGCTCTATTTTGCTCTATGTTTATCAAATAAGACAGGACAATTCTTGAATCTTATTCTTATTCAGTTTAACAACAAGGATTTCATTACCACAAAATTGATTTGTTGCCGTTTAGATGTTGTCCTCCATTTAGAATTAGATATTGTTTATGGCCCAGATTGGTCACAGATTCCCTGATAAGCTCCACAGTAGCTCCACTCACTTTGAACAAGTAAGGGGGATACAGTACATGTGTCTGTGTGTCCTCCATCTATCCATGCTTTCAGAGCATATCACTTTTTTCATGATGTCTATCAAACGTGGTATATAGGTATGTCATGGGAAGGCAGTGCGTCTCATCCTAAAAGGAGGTCACTGTGACCTCAACTTGACCCTTGACCTCAAATACTCAAATGATGGTTTCCAGAGCATATTTCAGCCAGTATTTTAAGAACTCGTTAACTTTTGTATAAAGATACATTATGGAAAGGCAGTGTGTCACATCCTAAAAGGAGGTCACAGTTTAACCTTTCACCCTTGACCTCAAGTACTCAAAAAATGGTTTCAAGTAAATATCTCGGCTACTGCTGTATAAATTGGCATCAATCTTTGTTTATAGATATGTGGGACCACACGTTGACCTTGATCTCGGGTATTGAATTAAGTGTAATCCTTCTTTCTACAGCATATCCTGGGCTCCTAACTTTGTAGATATGTGTTTTGAGTAAAACCTTGTTCGTTAGCTGTATTAGCTGTCCTATGTTGTTTAAAAAATTGTTATTGGTATTTTTCTCTTTTTTCTCATAGGCCCACCGAGTTGTGCTGGTGGCAGCTTGTCCCATGCTTCAGTCCATGGAAAATGCAGCGGCAGGTTCACATCTAGAAGTTCGTCTAGCAGCCGACATCAAACAAGAATCAGTCAACACATTCCTACAGTATTTATACGAGGGCTTCATGATGTTAACAGAAGAAAATGTCCGTGATGTTGAGAAGGTAGCCAGACTTTTACAGGTAGACAGTGTTATCAAATGTGTTGCTGACTTTTACAAATGTATGCATACCAAAACAGGTATAGCGTTTCCTGGTACTCAATACAAATACAACTTTAATGATCTGATAGAATTCCGTCATGTCCGTGTCACAGAACTGCAGAAAACTGTCCATGATGGAGCGGGGAAGCGATCATCAGATTTCCATCGGCCTGGAAGTCCAGGAAGTAAGCGACCAAGGCTGCACAGAGGGGGAAGTCCGTCAGATGTTACCGTGATAGGGTCGGACAAAGCTGATGATACAGCAAGTATGTCCCATAGTTACATGTCTGGAGCTCCAGATCCGTGGGACAGGGTCCCGAAACTGGGGTCAGGCATGAGTCGTCAGGGTGCTACTGGGAGGAACTCCCAGCCGGGTGTGATAGAAATTATTGAAGAAAGTATTGAACTTGTACAGACTGAGCCTCCAGAAAAAGATTCTGGGCAACCATCATCATCCCGTTCATCACAGAAGCCATCATCATCCATATCTATTGCTGTAGCTAGTCATTATAACACTGACCCAGATTTAAGTATTGTGAATGTTTCTGAGAAACCCTTGTCAGCGACACAACCGCCTGGGCCAAGTAGTTCATCTTCTACACCTCAGCATGGTTCAATTACAGTCAGTCCTCTAACAGTATTCCAGGATTCACAACACACGTTATCATCGCCATCTTCATCCTCATCCTCACGAGACATGCCAGCACTTGCCGCCTCATCTTCATCAACAGACCGACAAACCTCATTCAGACAGGAACAACCATTCTCAGGATTTTCACAAAGACCAGAATCAGAAAATGTGTTTTCACCATCAAAACAGCACCAGCAGCAGCCACGTACCTCAGACAGTCACATGAGCAGTACACCTCAACGTATGCCATTCCCAGTGTCCATTGCACCATCCGCAAGTCTAGGAAAACCATTTGCAGCAGGAAGTGCCATGCAAGCAATGGTGACCAGTTCTCCCATAACCGTTTCTCATAACTCACCTGTCCCAAGCAAACCAAGGCCAACACCACCACCTCCACTGTCCATGGGTGTACCAGATTCCAGTTCCTTACCCATGGATGCTGGCCAGAGTGGAGATGAAAGCAGAGGGAAAAGGTAAGATTTTGTATTATTTCTACTTTTTGTTACTTTTAAAATCTGGTAGCTTTCACGACATAGCTTGATTGCTTATAGCCTCTTTAAAACAAGTAGTTGTGTTCATACTTTTTAATTTTTCATATCTGTTAAACATACTAGGCTAAAACTAAATCAATCCATCAAACTGGACAACAGTAATGTGTTGTGAAGGTATTTTAGATAATTTCTTATGGTATATTTATTGCAACTTAATGAGGAAAACAATCATTCTTTTACAGCACAAAAGTTGAAGTTGCTGATTCCATGCAAGAAAGTACAGCTGACTTAACTCCTGACTTAAGTATAGTCAAGGTAGAGGCAGCATTGGGTGACGGAGAAACGGGAGGACTGGACATGCACGTTGATATGGCGGAACAAAGCATACTGCAAATGCAAGCTGGTACATCACACCACGAAGAATTTGAAGAACCAAGTGATGCAGAAATCGAGGAATGGGCGAGAGAAGAAATGTCGAATGAGGGTGCTAATATGAGCGGAGATCCCAATAGCTCCTGGTACATGGGGTCTTACAAAGGTAGGAGTCTTCTTCTCTTCATTTCAAATATCGATACATTATACATTTGAAAGAAAACCAGTGACGTGCTCCGACGTTTAGGAACAACCCATTCAATTTTGGGTGTGAAACGTTTTCAGCATCCTAATTGGAAACCGTATCAAACCTAATTAGTGTTTTTTTCTGCCCTGGTACCAAATGCTAGAAAAAAGATTTGTTTGCAACAAAGGTTTTACTTTCAAAATATGCATCTTAAATGATATATATACTCTAAAATAAATGAACACCCACCTAGTTTTCTATCATGGAATGAAAAGAAAGGCATAAAGTTACACTAAAAACAGATGTTATGAATATAATGCAATATTTTTTCTGGTCAATTTTGAAAAATATTTAATATATCCTCGTTCTTGAACAAATATTTTGAAATCCATCTGAAAAACAAGGATTTATCATGATAAGATCAGTATTCAAATCATAGAGTTCCGTTTGAATGTTGTAATTGTTTCAATGTATATATATATTTACAGTATTTCAGAACTATTAAACCCTGGTTTTCTTTCATATGAGAATGTGTTGATACTTTAAAAAATCTGTTCAAAGGCTGTTTCAAAAAATTATTATTGTATTATATGAACTTAATACAAGTGGAATGTTTATTTCTTTGTTTCTTTGGTTTTGTGGGTAGTGGTGTCAAACTATTTCCAAGTGCGCACAGTTTTGGCAATTTTTCCTGCAGTTGGAAATTCGGTTTTATGTATGTTTTTACTGGACAATTGAAGGAATACTGAAAACAGCCAACCAAATTATTTTGCATTTGCAGGAAAACAGTTATTATTGTTACGTAAGTTGAAGGCAGTGCCAATTTAATTAATACTTTTTATGATCACTTCGGATTGAAGATCATATTCTAAATTTTGGCAAATCAGTAACTCGAGTTATTGGATTTGTTACAGAAAAGGCCATGAATCCAAAAGAGCAAGCTAAAGAACATGTAGCTACAAATCGAAGTGCTAAGCTGTACTATCAAGAAAATGTCAACCTTCCTGCTAATTTTTATAATGATATACCAGAGAAATATAGATTTGATATGCCAACCTTGCTTAATTTAAAAGCCAACTCCTCCAGTCCAGGAAATTTTGCCAAGAAAGTGTGTGAGCGTTTGTGGCCAGAGTTGTACAGTGAAGAGAAAGTCAGGATGAAATACTCGTATTACGGGGGTGGCGTAAAGGGCAAGATGGCTTTGGATGATGTCAGGAAGGTCATCCTTAAAAAATATGTTGTTCTCTTCTTTCCTTTTTGTACTATGGATATGATCTGGAAAAATAACATTGTGGCTAAAATCAATGAATCTCTGCGTAGACGAGACCTCAAGAAGGTCCGAGTCTTGTCTCAGCAGGAAGGCAGGTGACGGTTGTTCGATTGTGTTCAGTTGATTTTGACGGAGGACTTACTTGGTGGCTCGTGTAGACATTTATGTAACGGGGTAGGTTTGAACAACAATTCTTATTACCTTCAGAGGTGCAAGTGATTCAAAACTGTAGAGGTGGTTTTCCTGGCAAAGGACTCGATTTCGGGGGCTTGATTGAATCGAGTTACAGACTTCCCACTATCAATTGAACTTGTGGTTTAATGGTCTTAATAGGCTGGACTTGATTACAATAACAACAGAAAAGGTTAATACCTGTCATTTGTTAGCCAGTAGTAAGAATTGCGGGGAGGACGAGTTTTGAGTGAATCGGAGGAGAGGATTAGTAATTCTGCTGTTGTTGGGTCTGTTACAGAGACGGATAGTAATCGGGCAGTGAGTACCCCAGGTGGGCCTCCCTTCTTCTATCAAGGGAACAATGAAATTCCAAAAGAATTTTACGATGACATACCAGAAGAATATAGATATGATAAGCTGTCTCTTCTTGATATGGAAATGAACTCTGTAAGTCCAGGAAACTTTGCGAAGAGAATAGGTGTCCGACTTTGGCCAGAACTGTACGGACCTGATAACGAGAGGTTGAAATATTCGTACTTTGGCGGTGGTGTTAAGGGGAAGTTTGCTTTAGACGATAAAAGGAAGAGTTTCCTCAGAAAGTATGTTCTCTTCTTCTATCCAGATTGTGCTAATGATATGATCTGGAGAAGTACAATTGTTACTAAAATCAACGAGTCCTTGCGTAGACCAGACAAGAAAATTTCACACAGGAACACAACTAAAGATTCAGTTTAATACAATGTGCCTTAAATGTTAGTTGTACAGAAGGTATAGTAATTTTCTTTGGGTGATTGGTCTTGTGTTCCGCTGTTGCGTGGAATTAAAAGTTTAATAAACATTCCATTTGTTGTTTTTTTATCAATGAAATTAATTGGTTTATTGTGTTTTCAAACATTAAACTCATTACTTCAATCCATAAATGTGAATTTTTGATGTTTTATTTATTGTACAGCCTTTGAACACTGTTACAGGAAGTGACCTACTTCTACGTGTTTCACCCACTGTTTCCATGGTTACAAGTTATGATGGGTGAAACACCGGAAGTATGTCAATTCCTAATATCTACTACTGTACAAATCCAAGCTGAAATTACTATTGCAAAAGTCAGATATATAAAAAAAATTGCCAGAATGAAAAATATTATTTGAAGTTTTCCTCTGTGACTTCATTAAAGATGGATTCCAGCTAATTTTCAGAAATATTGCACCCCTCCGTATTAAAGCCATTTTGGTCTCTGGTATAGCATATAGATAGATAGATTAGAAATATTTTTTCTGTATGAACTTTCAATAAATGTATCGAGTGAAGTCATTTTAAGAAGAATATTCAAACAATTTTACCTGCAGTGCTAATACGCAGTTCAGTTAATAAGAAGATAATTATGTACATCCGATATTTCCCGTGTTGATTGTCGTACATTTGATAAGACTTTCTGAAAGGGTCACCCTTTTTAGGCCAGATGTCCCCGTCAACATATGAAAACTTCCCAGTGGTTATACAGCTCACTTGAAGGGACAAGACATTAAACCATATCAAAATTGATAAGCTCTTATGCCTGATTTATTGATCAATTTTTATTACAAAAAACAACATATATTCAATAATCGCACAACCTGTATATGCTGCACATTCTCCACCTAGTAGTAGTAACCATCCTCATGAAGGGAAGATAAATATTTAAACTAGAAAAGATATTATGATGCTGGAGTTAAAAGGGAAAAAGGCATGTCCAGACCGGATTAAAACCCAGGACCTTCAAATTCTAGAGAGACAATCGAATTGTTGAGCTTTCTTGTTGCCCGTGATCGACCCATTGCCCTTTCTTGTTGCCTGTGATCGACCCATTGCCCTTGTTGCCCGCGATCGACCCAATCAAGTCCAGTTACAACTAAACAGAAAATCTGGGAGAATCTATCTTTACATTTCACAGCATTTTCCTTATTTTGAGACTTTTAATAAAAAAATAAATATTATTCAACAATTTTGAATATATATTTGTGAAATATATTGGAATTCATCGAAGTGATATACTTCAATTTCGGTGTAAGTTTTGTTGAGAAACTCTACGACTTGTCTTGCGATAGAAAATTTCAGCTTTGTTAAGTACAGAACTGAAACATGTTTATTTATACAACATTGTTGCCATAGTTATTCTATTATTTACTGAACATGATAGTGATCACAATGAAAACGTATTAAATTTTAGTTTAATTGGAAAATAAGAATTTGTGATAAAGGCAGTCCTGCTATTGTATAACATAATTATGTATAAGTGGCTGACAAAAGAAATATGTTTCATGATTTCTTGTTTTCGATGTATGCCAGATTCTGATTGACATTTTATCTTGAACACTTTTGAGATTTTCTATAAGGATTGTATAAGTAAATAATGTTGGGTTTCTTTTGATGGTCTTTTTGGTTGTTCGGTTTGGTTCTCGGACTCCCGACTGTTAACTAGAAATATTCAGATCTGACCTATATTTATCGTAGAGACTCCTTAGGATTTTGTGGTCATGTTAAAAGAGGCCGACAACATTTCTCCCGTTCGTTGATTTTGAATACATCCCAGGAAATACAAGTTTATTGCACTGAAGTGTGGCAAGGAAATTACTGTCAATACTGAATATACTCTGAATATCTGATCTGTTTCGACCTTCTAGACAACCACATATGTAAGAAAATCATCGAAACAATGATGTTTGAATTGTGATCACTATCATGTGGGGATAACTCTGGTCTGTTCACATGTATACGCTCCGTTAAATGCTCCAGAGAAAGTCAATAAAGAGCTGACCTAACGAACGGCTTGCTATTCTGCAATATGAGTATATAACTTATTGACAGTAATTATAATGCCCTGTTGCTTCAAACATCGGTTGTCTCTATCTTTGATGGTTGTGAAAACAAATAAAAAATAGTTTGTTCGGTCAGACTTCGTAAAGTTGACTTTCTCTTTAATAAGTGCAGTGGCCAAGTCTTACCTCGATTTCAGTATCTGTTTACATCAATCATTTTAAAATTTATACCCTCTAAAAATTAGTTTAATATATATCGCACTCCATATTAATACATATGCTTTATATGTGATTGTGTAAACTTTTAGTAACCAGTATTGATGTTTATATGTATCTGATTGATATAAGACTTGTCCGTTAGCAAAAACAGATGTCGCACAAATTTGAAAAAATGTATTGAATTATTGTATGATACAAAGTTGTATCTCGCAACAAAGCTTGCATCAAATTTGTGAAACATGGGCCCTCGTGGGGGAAAAAACAAACCAGAATTTTGTATGAGAAATGCTGCAAAATTTTGTGAAGTCTACAAAAAAAAAAGAAAAAATTTGTGTTGGTTTGTTTTTTTCTCTGTGAAATATTGATTGTTTGCAATTTTGGTAAATTAAATGAAGACCGAAGGTAAAACTTCACAAAAATAACCGTCTTGTAACTTGATTCAAGGGGAAAACAATTTTGTTTTTGTGACACAATTAAAAAAAAATTAAAAAAAATGGATTTTGCAAACAATCAAATTGCCT